GTGATTCTTCAACCAAATGACAGAGATGAATGCCAGAATAAAACTTTGGAATCATGCGGTTAGGTTTTTATTTGGATTCTGATATTCTGAATCTGGATTATTCATTCAGAAATAAACACAGTCATTTTCTTGTAGATAGGATTTTAATCCACCTAAAGGCTTGTTCATTTTTTTTTTTTTTTTTTGGAGACGAGTCTCGCTCTGTCGCCCAGGCTGTTGTGCAGTGGCCGGATCTCAGCTCACTGCAAACTCTGCCTCCCGCGTTTACGCCATTCTCCTGCCTCAGCCTCCCGAGTAGCTGGGGTTACAGGCGCCCGCCACCTAGCCCGGCTAGTTTTTTGTTTTTTGTTTTTTTTTTTGTTTGTTTGTTTGTTTTGTTTTGTTTTTTTTTTAGTAGAGAGAGGGTTTCACCGTGTTAGCCAGGATGGTCTGGATCTCCTGACCTCGTGATCCGCCCTTCTCGGCCTCCCAAAGTGCTGGGATTACAGGCTTGAGCCACCGCGCCCGGCCAAGGCTTGTTCTTAAGGGAGGCTCCCATGGAGGAGGAGAGATTCCAGCATGCTACGTGGGGACAACATCCTCACAACATACAGCTCTGTGCCCAGCAGGTGCCAGGAAACTTGCTTTATGGAAACAGTTACATTTACACATGAGGAGGTGATAAAAACATGGCAAGGATATGCAGTCATATGACACAAACAGGCTAGAGCTGAAAAGGCTTGAAGCAATGAAAAGACTGGTTACTTTCAGAAAAGGAAATGGCATCTTTGGGACATTTTGTCATAAAGCCAATAATTAAAGGAAGAATACTGAAAGAGAAGTTTCCTGAAGTTTAGGCTTCTTTTTTGTTTTTCTGACTTTATTAACATCTCCTGGAGGGTGTGTGTGTGTGTGTGTGTGTGTGTGTGTGTGTGTGTTGGGAGAGGTATTGCTGTGAGATTTGGGCTTAACAATTAGGAAAACTCATAACTGTGTAACACGTTCACTCTCTTACATCTACTCCCTTTATTTGTCTAGCATAAAACCATTGTGTTGTATGTAGGTTTCCCTCAAGGGATGAGCCCTTCCTCATGAGACCATTCAGCCCTCTCAAAAACTTTCTTCATTCTATCCTTGAAAACTTTGAGGCTCTAAGGAAAACTAACCTGTTAGATGTGTGAGTCTCCCCTATAGAGTAATATGGACACTAGGATTGACTGGATGTTGACTTAATTTTTATAAACCAGTGCTGCCAAAATTGTTTGAATAATATAAGAACAATCTAGAATTTCTATAAGGGTTACAAATTAATGCATTTAAGTGGTACATATACAATATAACAGATTCTACCCTAAACTGATTCTACATAAACACAATATTTATCAAGTAGTAATTTGTTAACAAGGTTGTATTTCTATTAAAAAAACATTTTAAAGAAATATTTTTAAAATTTATGATTTTATAGTGCTACGAGTATCAACTGAATTTTGAACTTTCACTATTTTTTATTTGTATCATTCATTTAAGAGTCTAAATCAATCTATTTACTTTATTGTCAGATAATTTCAGGTACACTATATGAAATACTTTGGGGCAAGTAAGAAAAAACCTTGAAAAAAAGTAATAAATACAAATGGTAATACAGAAAAAGTAATAAATAGAAACAGGCTTGGTTATATATTGTGGCAGTGTCATATGAAATAGAAACAGTTAACAAAGCAAGATACAGTATATGAATGGCAATATGTAACTTATAAAGAAGGAGTTTCAAGATTATTGTTGGGTGCACAAAAGCTAGCCTCGGGAAACATACTCATATATTCCTCCCGATTGTTTGAGGCACATTTCTATAGTCTCTTCAACTTCTTAGTTGAAATTATTCTCTCAACTTCTTAAATTATCATGCTCTTTTGTACCCCAGTTATCACATTCTACTTTGTACTATAGTTGGCTACATAAGAAACCGTCTCCAGTGCTAGGTCACTTTATTTATTGTACCACTCCCATTAGTATCACACAATAAATAACTCTTCAAATAGACCAAAGCAGCGTTCTAAATCTTCTCAGGATATCACTAGAAAACTCCATAAGTAATGTAGTCTTTTTAAACAAAGGATTCAATTTCTGTGTGGGGAACCCTCTTTTTAGTCATTGAATCAGGCTAAGCATTTTTAAAAATGTTTTTTTATGCCCTTTGTTTTTTAAAAACTGAGATATTAGATTTAATTAGACGCTAAACTTTAAACGGAAATTTTCAACCATGAAACTAGAAAGCTCGAAAGGTTCACAGATTCCTATTTGGGCATTTGATAGCCTCTGAAAAATGTTTGTGTATGATTGACAGGCTTTAAGTGAAATTTTTAATTCCTCTGCAATGGACATGTGAAGGTTGGGTTGGAGGGAGGAAGCCAGGAGGTAGCAGACAGGAATAAAGGCTACAAGAATGTTTAATTTCGTGTTAACTGCTCATTTGCCTTAAAAAAAAAAAAATGAAATGACTTTTCCCTCTAGTAGAAGTATCACAGTTCAGATAGAAACAAAAATTCACCTTAATGATGACACTTACGGATCTTTACATCTGCTCCGTTGCACTCATGGGGATATTTATCTTCTTCTCCTCAAGTGCCTGTATATTTATATGCAACTACATTGGTCTTTGATGTTACAATAATATTTCTTGTATAGACAATGAAGTTTTGCTGAAAGCTAAGAGCTTCTAGAGGTTGAGAAGTTGTCTTATTCATGTAGCCTCTTTAATGCTAATAGAATGTGTATTAATTCTTGATTAAAAGGAATTAATTAGCAGTTCATTTTCACATCCCCTAAAGATATGAGCCCATTAGTAAATTACTCACTATTTTGCAGCATCTTTTGATTTTTAACAAAGGCTTCCTAAAATCCTTCCTAAATATTGACCAAAACTTAAATTTATTAAATTGCAGCACATAGGTGTGTGCTGGTAGTGAACTTTGCTGAGTAATAGGACTCAAACTTTTAACAAATTTATTGAGTCCTTTACTATGTGGACATAAGAGTCATTGTAGGGGGCAAGATTTATTCTGGTATTGGAAGGATCCTACTATTCAAATGCACTGCATTTGAAATTATCAAAATGTGTGAAATCTCCTTTATGGATAAATGGAAAAGGCAGTTAGTTAATTTCCTAATCTCTATTTGAAACATTTTTACATCTATCGATTATCATTTTTTTCTTAAAGTTATTCTGAGATGAGTCTTAGCATATTTTGAATTGCTGTTCATTTGTGTTACATTTTCATATACCTTGTTATCATGAGTTTTGCCAATGTTATTTGTATGATCTGTCTTAGAATGATCATATTTACTACATGACAGGTGCTACTCTTATTCAGGCTACACACACCTCATGCCTACCTCTTCAATGTAATTCTAGTAGTTCTTACAAAGTAGTTAATCTCCAATGGCCTAAAAATCATATTAGGTTATGAGGATCCTACAAATATTCCATCTGTTTATATTATTTGTAATAAGAATGACTTACATGGTGGTTACCTATATACTTACGATTACACATATCATCTGTGACGTTTTCTCTAAAGAGAGCAGCTACATTTATCAGCAGGAGCATTGTTTCAGCCAGACATTTTAACTAGGTTTATCATTGCCTTCCTGTTTCTTTTGTGTGTTGAAGTTTTCAAGCATTTCTTTCTATTCTTTCAGCTACTTCATTCTTTCCTTCCAGCATCTTGTTGGGCAGGGAGCTTTAGGCTTTACTTAAACTGAATATTTACATTAAGGCTGTTAGTTATTTCCCTGTGAGATGCCTACACTCTTCTGAGATGCCTCTGAGATATGTTTATCTTCAGTCACTTGAGGCTTCCAGAAGGAAGTTAGTTGAATATAAATAGCTCTGAGGACAAAGTTTTGCTTAAAGGAAAGCGTATAGTTCAGATAGAGTAGGAAAAGTGTATACAACAAGAGAAAAAAAGAGGAATTCTAACATTTTGGAAATTGAAAGAGAATGAGATTCTTATGAAGGAGATTAAGAAGCACTAATTTTGGCAAGAATTGTTAACACACATTTTATTTCTTCTCCTCTTATTCACTCTGAAACTGGAAGAATGGTAACAAAAAATCTTGGTTCTGCCCTAAATTTTTCATTAGATTTGTTCTTGCAAGTGATTTTTGTTGTTAAATTAAATGTCCACATTTATCTCCTAATTTTATTTGATTTCTCAGCAATTTTTTTATAGTGTTGGTCTCACCATTGTTCCAGAAACATTATTTGCTTGCCTTTCACAGTCCTACAGTCAGCTGGGAGCTCTTCCAGACTCGTTAGCTGCTTCTCTTGTCTCCTCTGTTGTACTCTTCCTGTTCCAAATCTTTTAATGTTGAAGTTTGTTCAGGCTTAGTTGTAGATCAGTATATCTTTGTATGCTCTACCTATAGTTTGTCATGGATTTGGAAAAAATACATACATACAAAGTATATGATATGTAGAATCTCAAATTTGAACTTGAACCTAAACTTCTCTTGAGCATTTCAGCTCAATGTAACCAGCTATTTACTGGTTATCTCCACTTGGCTATCTAGTAGGTATCTACAATTTTATATATTTTATTATACATATGTCTTATTCTTCATATCTCCTTTTCTTTCACCTTATATCCAACACATAAATAATTATTTGTTCTTCCTGCAGAATGCATCTTAAATATGTCCACATTTTATATCTTACCACCATTATTTTTAACCCTCCCCAAAAAATCACACTTGCCTGGATGCCTATAATAGCCTCTTAATCTTCTAACCTTCAAGTTTGGTTCTTTGGAGTTTGTTCTCAATTCAGTGGCTGGAGTAAATTTTTAAAATGCAAATCAAGTCAAATCACTATACTGCTTAAATAATTAATGATTTGCTTTAACTTAGGATAAATTAGAGGCCTTGCAAGGCTTTGCAGGATTTTGCTTTTTTTCTTTTTAAAGCCTTATCCCATACCTCTCTGACACTTAATGTGTTTCTCTACACTTTTTCATCTTCAGTGCTCACCTGCCTGAAATGCTCTACATCCTCCCTACCAATAGACTGTTCTTATGGTCAGCACCATGGACATCATTTGCCAGCTTGTTAGAAATGCAGAATCTCAGCACGGAATGAACAATTCAGTTTGAAGGTAAAGAAGACAGAGATGATGCCAAGTTTATTGACTTAGGCAAACAGGTCCACACCTCCTTCCCTTTCTACACCTATTGTAGGCCTCAGAATAGATAAAACATCTTCAAGGAAGCCTTCTTTGATCCCCTAATAAAGTGATTAGACCGGTATCAAAGTCACCTGGAGGGCTTAGTAAAACACAAATTGCTGGGCCCCAGTCCCAGAATTTCTTCTTCAGTTGGGCTGGTGGGGAAGGCTCAGAAATTGCATTTCTAACAAGTCTCCACGTGATGCTGATGCTGCAGGTCTGGGGGCCCGTACATTAAGAACTGGTGGCGCTCTCATAAGCAACTCTTAGCCTTTGCTGTGCAGTACAGTCAACTGGGGGAGGATTTTTATTTTAACCCTAACATTTGGATTCTTTACAGTTCTTGTCTAGTATGAATAATGTTACTATGAACATTTATGCACAAGTTTATGCATAAGCATATGTTCTCATTTTTCTTGGGTCTACACCTAAGAGCAGATTTGCTAGATGAACTGGTAACTCAAGGTTTAACTCTGAGGATCTGCCAAAATGTTTTCCAGTGTGGCTGCACTGTTATATGTTCCTATCAGCAGTGTGTGAGTTTTCTAATCTCTCTATTTATGGCAACACCTGTTATTATCTGTCTTTATTATAGTCATCCTAGTGTGTGGGAAGTGATATCTCATTGTGGATTTGATTTGCATTTTCCTGATGACCAGGTATTTTGAGCATTGTTTTATGTGCTTATTAACCATTTGTATATATTATTTGGAGAAATGCCTGTTAAGATATTTCTCCTATTTAAAAATGATCAGTCTTTTTATTATTGAGTTGTAAGGGTTCTTTACATGATCTTGATAGAATTCCTTCATCAGATAAATAATTTACAAATACTTTATCCATTCAGTAGTTTTGCTTTAATTTTTTTTGATGGTGTTCACTGAAGCACAGAACTTTAAACTTTTGAAGTCCAGTTCACTTATGTATTTTCTATTTTTGCTTCTGTTTTAGTAAAGTATGTAAGAAGCTATTGGCAAATCCAAGGTCAGAAATTTTACCCTGATATTTTCTCTAATAGTTTTATAGCTTTTATACTTACATGTAGGCCTATGGTGTATTTTTAGAAAATTTTTATATTGGACATGAGGTAGGTAGGGGTCTAATTCTATACTTTTGCATGTTCAATTGTTAAAGCACCATTTGTTGAAATGATCATATTTCCCCCATTGAATTGTTTTGTCACTGTTGTTGAAACAAATTGTAAATGTGATGGTTTATTTCTAGATTTCCAATTATATTCCATTGATTTATATAGTATCCTCATGCCAGAACCACTTTCTTAATTACTGTTGCTTTGTGGTAAGTTTTGAAATCAGGAACTATAGGTCCTCAAATTTTATCTTTATTTTATTTTATTTTATTTTATTTTATTTTAAGACAGAGTCTTGCTTTGTCACCCAGGCTGGAGCGCAGTGCCACGACCTCTGCTCCTGCTGCAACCTCCTCTTCACAGGTTCAAGCAATTTTCATGTCTCAGCCTCCTGAGTAGCTGGCATTAGAGATGTGCACCACCACGCCTGGTTAATTTTTGTAGTTTTAGAAGAGATGGGATTTCACCACGTTGCTCAGGCTGTATTTTTTTTGTTTTGAGGATTATTTTGGTTCTTCCGGCTTCGTTGAATCTCTATATGAATTTTAGAATCACTGTATTAATTTCTTCAGAGAATTCAGCCAAACTTCTGACTTCTTAGATGTCAGTGATTCTGTAGATTAATTTGGGAAGTATTGCTATATTAACAATATTAAGTCATTCAATCCATGTACATGGGATGTTATATCAGTTTGCTAGGGCTGTCATATCAAACTATCACAAATTGGGTGGTTTGGGCAACAATGATTTTTAGTCTTATAATTTTGGAGGCTAGAAGTCTAAGCTTAAGGTACCATCAGGGTCATGCTCCTCTGAAGGTGCTGAGGAAGAATCTGTTCCAGGTCTCTCTCCTGCTAGTTCCTTAAATTGTACCAGCATAACTCCATTCTTCACATAGCATTCCTCTGTGTATATGTATGTGTCCAAATTTTCCCTTTTTGTAAGGATAAAGTCATATTGGATTAACTGCAAACAACTGCCTGACCTCATCTACATCAATAATATCCTCAAAAATCCTATTTCCAATTAGGTTCACGTATTGAAGTACTGAGAGTTAAGACTTCAGCATATCAGTGGGGTGGGGGGGACACGGTAACCTATAGCATACCTTTCCTTTTGTTTAGAGCCTCTTTTTTTTAAATTTATTTATAATTATTATTATTATACTTTAAGTTCTAGGGTACATGTGCATAATGTGCAGGTTTGTTACATATGTATACTTGTGCCATGTTGCTGTGCTGCACCCATCAACTCGTCAGCACCCATCAACTCGTCATTTACATCAGGTATAACTCCCAATGCCATCCCTCCCCTCTTCCCCCTCCCCATGATAGGCCCCAGTGTTTGATGTTCCCCTTCCCGAGTCCAAGTGATCTCATTGTTCAGTTCTCACCTATGAGTGAGAACATGTGGTGTTTGGTTTTCTGTTCTTGTGATAGTTTGCTAAGAATGATGGTTTCCAGCTGCATCCATGTCCCTACAAAGGACATTAACTCATCCTTTTTTATGGCTGCATAGTATTCCATGGTGTATATGTGCCACATTTTCTTAATCCAGTCTGTCACTGATGGACATTTGGGTTGATTCCAAGTCTTTGCTATTGTGAATAGTGCCGCAATAAACATACGTGTGCATGTGTCTTTATAGCAGCATGATTTACAATCCTTTGGGTATATACCCAGTAATGGGATGGCTGGGTCATATGGTACATCTAGTTCTAGATCCTTGAGGAATCGCCATACTGTTTTCCATAATGGTTGAACTAGTTTACAATCCCACCAACAGTGTAAAAGTGTTCCTATTTCTCCACATCCTCTCCAGCACCTGTTGTTTCCTGACTTTTGAATGATCGCCATTCTAACTGGTGTGAGATGGTATCTCATTGTGGTTTTGATTTGCATTTCTCTGATGGCCAGTGATGATGAGCATTTTTTCATGTGTCTGTTGGCTGTATGAATGTCTTCTTTTGAGAAATGTCTGTTCATATCCTTTGCCCACTTTTTGATGGGGTTGTTTGTTTTTTTCTCATAAATTTGTTTGAGTTCTTTGTAGGTTCTGGATATTAGCCCTTTGTCAGATGAGTAGATTGCAAAAATTTTCTCACATTCTGTAGGTGGCCTGTTCACTCTGATGGTAGTTTCTTTTGCTGTGCAGAAGCTCTTTAGTTTAATTAGATCCCATTTGTCAATTTTGGCTTTTGCTGCCGTTGCTTTTGGTGTTTTAGACATGAAGTCTTTGCCCATGCCTATGTCCTGAATGGTACTACCTAGGTTTTCCTCTAGGGTTTTTATGGTATTAGGTCTAACATTTAAGTCTCTAATCCATCTTGAATTAATTTTCGTATAAGGAGTAAGGAAAGGATCCAGTTTCAGCTTTCTACTTATGGCTAGCCAATTTTCCCAGCACCATTTATTAAATAGGGAATCCTTTCCCCATTTCTTGTTTCTCTCAGGTTTGTCAAAGATCAGATGGCTGTAGATGTGTGGTATTATTTCTGAGGACTCTGTTCTGTTCCATTGGTCTATATCTCTGTTTTGGTACCAGTACCATGCTGTTTTGGTTACTGTAGCCTTGTAGTATAGTTTGAAGTCAGGTAGCGTGATGCCTCCAGCTTTGTTCTTTTGACTTAGGATTGTCTTGGAGATGCGGGCTCTTTTTTGGTTCCATATGAACTTTAAAGCAGTTTTTTCCAATTCTGTGAAGAAACTCATTGGTAGCTTGATAGAGCCTCTTTAATTTGTTTCAACAATGTTTTATGGTTTTCAGAAAATAGATTTTTTTACTTGTTTTGTTTTTATTTTTAATAGACTTTATTATTTGAGCACTTTAATGTTTATAGGAAAATTGAATACACAATAGAGTTCTGAATACACCCTTAATGCCTCCTCTCCCCAGTTCATTATTAACATCTTCCATTAGTGTGGTAAACTTTTTATAATTGATGAGCTAATATTGATATATTATTATTACCTAAGCACATAGTTTACATTGGGATTTGCTCTATATTGTACATTCTGTTGCTCTATATTGTACATACATAATGACATGTATTCACCATTATTGTATTATACAGAATAATTTTACTGCTCTAACAACTTCCTCTGCTTTGATTGTTCATCTCTTTTTCCTCTACCTTATCCCCAAACATCTACAACCCCCCTGATGTTTTTACTGTCTTCATAGCCTTTTCCAGAATCTTACATAATTTGAATAATACAGTATGTAGTCTTTACAGATTGGCATCTTTCACTTACATTTAAGGTTCTTCCATGTCTTTATGTGGCTTTGTCCATTCCTATTCCCAGTTTGTGTATCCATTCACCCACTAAAGGACATCTTGGTTGCTGCTAAGTTTTGGCAATTATGAACAAAGCTGCCAGAAATATTTCCGTGAAGGATTTTGTGTGGAGTAGAAGTGGTAACAGCAGATACTTTTGTCTTGTTCCCATCTTAGGAAGGAAAATTTTAGTCTTACCACTATTAAGTGGGATGTTAGTTGTGGAATTTTTAAAGATGCCCTTTATCAGAGTGAAGAAGTTACCTTCTGTTCCTAGTTTTAGTGATTTTTTCCCACTAATCATGAAAGCATGATTAGTGGAATTTTGTCTAATGTTTTTACTGTGTCTATTGACATGATCATATGGTTTCTGTTTTTTGTTCTATTAATATGATATATTTTATTAAATGATGTTTGGATGTAAACCAAGCTTACATACATGGAACAAATCCCACTTGATCATGGTGTATAATCAACTTTTTGTTCTCTGGATTTTATTTGCCAGTATCTAATTGAGGATATTTGTATTGATATTCATAAAATATATTGGGCTGTAGTATTTTTTCTTGTGATATCTTTATCTAGTTTTGTTATCAATGCAATCCTGTCTTAATTGAATGAGTTAGAGAGTGCTTATTTCTCTTCTATTTTTTGGAAACAATATTTATTCTTTAATATTTGATAGAACCCAGCAGCGAAGCTATGTATGCCTGGACTTTTCTTTGTAAGTAGTTTTTTGTAATTGATTTAACCTCTTGCCTTATTATAAGTCTATTTGGATTTTCTCCTTAATTATTGATTTTAGTAATTTGTGTCTTTTTTCTTGATCAGTCCAACTAAAATTTTGTCAATATCTGATCATTATAAATAAAAAGTTTATGGATTCATTAATTTTCTCTACAGCTTTTCTGTTCTCTGTTTCATCAATTTCTGCTCTAATATTTATAATTTCCTTTCTTCTGGTTGGTGAAGCTTTGATTTTTCTCTTCTTTTTTCTGATGAGTAAGCTGAAAATTTAGATTATTAATTTGAGCTATTACTTCTTTTTAATATAGGAGTTTACAGCTATAAATATCACTTTATACATTGCATTAACTTCATTTTATTGGGGTTTTCTTGTAAGAAATGAGTCATGTTTTCCTAACTGCTTTCAAGATTCTCCTGCAGTCCCAGCACTTTGGATTTTCTCTTTGTCTTTGTCTTTCCCACATTTTTACTATGATGTGCCTGTGTGGATATCTCTGCATTTATACTACTTGGAGTTTGTTGTGCCTCTTAAATTTGTAGATTAATGTTTTTCATCAAATTCTGTAAGTGTTAAGATATTATTACTTTTTCTTTTTTCTTTTTTCTTTTTTTTTGAAACAGAGTCTCGCTCTGTCGTCCAGGCTGGAGAGCTGTGGGGTATCTCGGCTCACCGCAAGTTCCACCTCCCGGGTTAACGCCATTCTCCTGCCTCAGCCTCCTGAGTAGCTGGGACTACAGGCGCCCGCCACCACGCCCAGCTAATTTTTTTGTATTTTTAGTAGAGACAGGGTTTAACCGTGTTAGCCAGTAAGGTCTCGATCTTCTGACCTCGTCATCCGCCCGCCTCGGCCTCCCAAAGTGCCGGTGTTACAGGCGTGAGCCACCGCGCCCGGCCTCAGGTATTATTACTTTGAATACTTTATTGCTTCTAAATCTCCACTCTTATTACTTCTGTTATACATATATTGATTTGTTTAGTGAGTACCACATTTTTCTGAGCGTGTGCTAATATTTCTTCTCTTTTTCCTCTTTTATCTTTGAGTATAATGTTTCTGTATTATGTTTACAATTTTTTCAGTTAAAGTATCTCTAACATAAAACTTATTAAAAATACAATTAGAAGTGGTTTTCCAAAATACTTGTACCAATTTAACACAATCATATGCTATAATACAACCCTTTGCTATAAGTCATCTCCAACGTGTGGTATTGATATTTGCTTAAGCAATGAGTGTAAACTAGCATCTTATTGCTTACTTAATTTGCATTTCTCTATTTTCTCTATTATAAATGAGATTGAATATTTATAAATAGCTTGTTTTATAATTAACGTTTCTTAGTAAAATACCTGTTTTTTTTCATATTTTTAAAAAATGTTGTTTGGTTTATAAAATTTCACTTTGTATAGTGAATATAAATTCTGTGCTGCTCATATGAGTTGCAAATGTCTTTTCTCAATTTGTGTTTTGTTTCTTCATTATTCCTTTCTGTATCTTAAATCTCTCATCTGGGTTCACTTTATTATATCTTGCAATATATCATTTAGTTGTTTCTTGTTTTTTGATTTTTATAATGCAAATCTTTTGGCATATTTCTATTTATTTCTTTATTTTTTTCTCTCTTTTTAAGGAGTTTGTTCTCTCTTTACTGAAGATGTTACTCCCCTATGTTCTAGATTCCGTTATTGCTGTTGAGAAATCTGGTATTAACCTATTATGTTGTTAATGTTTTTATTGATTCTCATTCTTAGTAGTAGTTTTGATTGTAGATCATATTTTACTAAGTGTAATCGATAGAGAATACCATAACCTTAAATTGGTAGTAGATTGGAAAGTATCTGCTTCCTGACAGAATTTTAGTCTGTTTCTGATGATGACCAGAGATGCTACTGACAAGTTTAATCTTTTTCATGGTCTTTAGATTAATGTGAAAGATTTAGCTTCAACTTCTTCACATTCCTGGAAGATCTATTTTTTAATATACAGATCTCTGATTGCTGATATCTTAAGGAAGACCATTTTATGTTTATATTTTCCTTGCCTTGTATCACTGCTACATTTGTTGCTGTTGTTTTAAGCTTCAGAAATTTCCTTAACATTCTAGTGAAACCAGTAGTGCATGACACTTATTGTGTGTTGTAGTTCATGCAGAGGCTTAGTTCTATCTGACATAACATGATTTAAATGCCATACTTCTAAATCTGAAATGTTACAAGGAAAATTCTGTGCAAAGACAAGAGATAAGAGTTGTTTAACATTTTTATAATAAATAAAGTTAAAATAAATTATCCCTTATTATAGATTAGAAAAAGAAATCTGGTAAGATTTCCTATTCTATTTCAGATGTTCTGATACATTCTTGCTCCTGAATTTCATTCTCAGAGTGCCATAAAAATTATTTGCTTTTGTTGATACGGTCCCCTTCAGATAAGGAAAATAAAATTGCCAATATATTAGCTTCAAATTTGTGAAAATGTAACCATTCCCTCTTGCAACCATTTAAAGTGTTGCTTCAGGTGTGTTGGTTGAGCAAATGTCTGAAATCCCTTCCCTAAAGGAAGGGATTGTTTAATTTTTTCCTTTCAATCATCACAATATTTTGGTTTGGTATGGAAGTCAATGAATTGGAAAGAATAAGAATGAATAAGGGGAGAAGTTCTGTAATGAAAGTAGTAGATGAATGATAACGTGTTTGTTGGAATTATGGAACATGTTGCTCAGGGAAAGAATAACATGCTTGGACCAAAAAGGTTCTGGGGAACTGAGTATATACCATTCATCTAATGTAACTCTTTCCCCAACTTCTATTTGAATATACATGTTAACATATATATGATATAAATTAAGATACCTACACACAGACACACACATAAAAACTTTCAGGTTTGTTTTGAAAGCTCTTCATATATCTATACAAGGAAGAACATTTTTCTCCTATGAGTATCATTTAATATATGCTATTGTATGAGCATATAATTACATTAAACTGACTCTTTTCTGATTCTTTATTTTAACCTAAATGCTTCAGTTAAAGATATGCATAATTTCTATATATGTTTCAAAAAATTAAGGTTTGGAGAATAAATCTTTTGAAGTAAAAGTTTACATGTTAACAATAATTCAACCAGAAACAAGTGGAATGCCAGAAACATAAATTAAAAGATCCTTAACAGAACAGTTTTGTTTTTCCATTTCTATATAAAGAAGTTTGTTTTACAAGCAAAGTAACAAATGGCTTAAAACAATTTTCTTGTTGCTAGGTTCTCAGATACCTAAACAGACCTTATACTTTTTAGGTTTAAACCTAATGAACTGAAACATTATAAAGATACATAGTAAAATAAGAAGGTGAATCATCTCAAAAATTAGAATTTTACTTTCCTAGTAAATGTCCTTGATATTGTATACAATAAATATTGATTTCTTTTTCTTTTTACTTTCTCCCTTTTTAATCCTTCTCTTAAGTAAAACAAACTCTCTATGCTAATTAATCTTTTAAAAAATATAACACTTCTTAAAATATGTTCTTAGAATGTAACTTATTTCCTAATTGTTATAAATAAACTATTTCATTTTGAAGTATTCTAAAATTATTTATATCAGGTAATAAATGTGAGTTTGATGATTTGTTGGATTATAAAATGTCAAGTATAATATAAAAATAAATTGAAGAACTTGATTCAAATGTTAGAGGAATCTTACTAAGTAGTACAGATATAGTGGTAAATAATATTGAGAAACGAGCTTAGAACTATACTTTCAGAAGACCCAAGTGACTTTCCAGTTTCTATTCTTCAATGGCAAGGATATTTGCTACAAGTCACATTCCGTTTGAAAACTTCTTTGTTTCCCACTCATATAACAGATTCCTTTGTGGTGCAAGACATTTTGAAACATGAGGGCCTGATACATGTGTGTATGTGTGTAGTTTCTAAGTGGGGTTGGGGATTGTTGGGGACTGTTATTGAACTATGTTATATTAAAAGGTAGGATTAAATATCTCATTGTAGATTTTGTTTTATTTTATATGCTGTGTGTATGTGTGTTAGATGAGGGGATTCAGCTTGAATAAAATAGTGCCATGATCTTGATGCAAATAAATATATTAAGAAGATAGTGTAAAAACAAATGGGAGCTTGGCTTGGATAAATGTACTTAAGGAAATGGAGGGTCCATCCATTTTCTCTTCAAGCCTTGGTCTATGATTTCTTTTTCTCCTTAAAACTCTGTCAAAAGTCAAGATTAAATTCTACTGGAAATGTTAAGCAGATTATGAAAAACCAAAAGTACAAATGCTATAAAACCTATATGAAATAAAACTACAAAATCAACTGGGAAAATTATGGAAAACTTAGCAAGAAACACTTAATACTAAACAGTATATATATATATATATATATATGCTCAGCAAATCAAAATGAAAGAGATCTCAAGAATACCCATATATTAATAATATTTTATCTATTCATGTCAAAATAATACATTAGATATTTAATATATATTCATTTTGATACATCTGAAATGCAAATATTTAATTATGCAGTATCTCAGTAATATCAATAATGAAATATTTTCCCCTCGAAATTCAATACTTTTTTCTTAGATTATAGATGCAGAAAACTTCAGGAAAAAGTTGTGACTTGTCTACTATAAATAAAAGTTTGTTAATTTATTTAATATAAATATATTACACATGATATTGATAAGTAATCAAAGAATAGGAATTTTACTAATTCTAACAAAAGTACAATAAATAAACATAAATAGCTGGAATATTGATGTTTGATTCTACTTTGTTTTTTCATTTATCTTCATTTTAAAAAGTTGTATTTCTATTAACAGAATATTTGTAATAACATCTATCAATTGCCTCTGTTTAGTGGCATGTGTTCTGATTTAGTTGCTTCTGATATGTGCAGTCTTCTTGCACTTTTGCGTGTGCCTGTGTGTGAACGTATAGGAGAACAATTATTACAGTTACTAAAAATAATGAATGTTTATAAAAGATCTGATTGTATGTTTGTTTGTAACCAGAGCAGTTTTTAATATTGTAAGTACATGTTTAATTGATAACGTAAAATAAAGAAAGTGGGCAAATTATAAGTGTGCAGGGCAATACATTTTTACAAATGAAACACCCCCATGTAACCAGAACCACGTTCACGAACTAGAACGTGATCAATGTGCCTACTTCCTTCTAGTTACTACTGCCTCTCCAAAAACAAGCGTACCCCCACCTTCTAATTCTATAGATGAATTTTGCCTGCTTTTACGTTTCATGTAAACACAATTATATAATATATACGTTATTATGTCTTTCTCAGCATTATGCCTGTGAAGACTTATCCCTGTCATTGCTCGTAGTTGTAGCTGATTACATTTTGTGTTGTGTAGTATCCATTATGTGAATTATACTGCAATTTATTTTTCCATTCTTCTGATGTGAATATTTAGGTTATTCCCACTTTTATGTTATTATGAATATGCTGTTATAAACACATGTATATGTACTTTAGAGAACACATGTAAGTCATTCTGTTACATATATACTTCAACGATTGTTATTTTTCTACTAGATTTTTTTCAGGTGATAATCATATGATTATGGTATGATTATCACTTGAAAAAATAAATTATTCTGATTCTTTCTAAGATTTATGCCTT